AATCAACAACATTGCTGAGGTTCCTGCATGGTGCGGTTACAGTACATCAGACAAATCTGGTTTACACCATAGCGATTTATGATAAGGTCTAGTTTCGAGAAATAGAATTCTCTATGCAACACACAAATCGTTTCACACACTTCGCAGAATTCTTGATTGAAGGCTTTTACTTGATTTCCATTTTCTGAAAAAAGAAAAAAGTGTTGAACATCAGATAACGCCTTTAGTGATTTTGTATGCTACATTAGAAGATCCCCCCATCCTGTCCTCTTATGCTGACTTACGTAGCACGCAGGCACACAGTACACATATTTCTTCCTGAAACTGCTCTTAAGCTGCATTTAACTTCATAAATATTACTCATAATGCACAAGGGCGCAAATCACGTTAATTTTTTCCCGATTACTTATTATTTTATAGTTTTGTATTTATCCAATAACAAAATCAGGAGATATGGGATGGGTGTGATATATAGCATGCATAGGAGAAGAGAGCAATGCTTACAAATTTGTGGAAGGGAAATATGATGGAATGAATCTATTTGAATGCCTAGGATATTGAGGGAGATATTGTGAAGGTAAATCTTCAAGAAATAGTGTTTCATAGTTTGGGCTTGATTCATAGGGCTAAGGACAGAGGACATTGTCGGGCTCTTATGAATATGCTGGAATAGTTTGAGTAGCTGAGTAACTATTAACTTCTTAAGAAGGACTCACCGAACAAGTTGATATAGTGCTGATGCTCTAGTGCTCTAGAATATTGTGGCGTGCCGCCAGAAATCCGGAATGGTTAAGGAGATCAGAGTTGATTTCCTAGGCAACGACATACGTTCCCACGACAGCGGCTAAGGATCAGAACGCTAGCAATTCCTAGCAGTGGAGTTTCCACCGTTACACACGAATTGCTGAAACAGCATTTCGATAGCAGCGAGCGAAATGAATCCTTCGACATGGTATTCCCTATCAAGTCCGCCTGCAAGTTATAAAAGCCCAGCTTCGGCGAGAACAGTTAGGTCCCTCCTAGAGAGGAATGGACTGCTATTCAGGTGCTGCAGGCCTTAAAAGTCATCCCTCTGGGAAATCCAACGCAATTGCTGATTGGAAATTCGGTTCATGCCCCGCACGATCTGTGCGACGATAATAATGAAGAGCGGGTGAAGGCTACAGTTCAAGCTATGCTCGAAACCGTAGACGACACCCCCTCAAAGAATCAGAACATGTGACGTACAAAAATTGATAAATTCCTTGAAATTGAGAAAGGCCTGTGGAATTGACGGCATCCAAAATAAATGCCTGAGGCAACTTCCAAGGCGACCATTGGTTCACCTAACTCATTTATTTAATCACTGCCTTCAGCTTTCTCATTTTCCAACTACTTGGAAGGAAGCAAAAGTAATAACTTTACCTAAACCCGGTAAAGACCCGAAATTCCCGCAAAATTTACGTCCGATCAGCCTCCTGTCCACGACAGGAAACTATTCGAAAAAGTAATTCTGAAATTACTACAAAAACATATTGAAGAAAGAGGCATGCTCAACGCAAATCAGTTTGGTTTTCGTCTATGTCACAGCATGACATTGCAATGCATGAGACTGGGTGACCACGTAACCCTTAATTTCAACAATAAAATGTCTACGGCCGCGGTATTCTTGGACATCGAAAAAGCCTTTGATACCACGAGGCACTCAGGATTGCTGTATAAGTTATCAAAATTGGAATTCTCGAACAGTTTGATCAAACTTATTGGGTCCTTTCTTTCTCAACGTAAATTCAGGCTTTCGGTTGAAGGCGAAATGTCAATCCCAAGGGAAATGCAAGCAGGGGTGCAACAAGGTTCAGTCCTTTCCCCTAACATTTTCAAGTTGTACATAAATGATGCCCCCTAAACACAAGGTGTTCACATGTCCCTCTTTGCTGACGACACCTGTCTGTATGCGACAGATCGCCAGGAGGGTTTTATTGTCAGAAATTTCCAGCGCGGTCTCAGCTCAATGGAGACCTGGTGTGAACGCTGGAATATTAAAATTAATTAAGACAAAACTGAGGGGGTCTACTTCTCTCATGGTCGTCGACCGCCTGAGCCTTGTCTGACTCTTAATGGAAGAAATATTCCATTTGTAAATAGTGCAAAATATCTAGGTGTAATATTCGGTAAGAGAGTTATATGGAAATTGCACATAGAAATGATCGAAGCCCAGGCCTTCAGAACATTCATTAGGGTATATTCCCTATTCAAAAGGGAGCGATTGAGCGCTAACATTAAACTGACCCTCCACAAAGCTCTTATTAGATCCGTAATGACTTATGCTAGTCTCGCCTGGGAGTTTGCGGCAGACACCCATCTAGTAAAATTGCAGAGCCCTCAAAACAAGGTCCGAGAATTGCACATGGCATTCAAAATACCGTACATATATGACTATATGACAAAATTAAGCAGGCAACAAGCAGAAGTCGTACAGAATCATGAAAATGAGAATGTTCGCAACATCGGACAAGGTGAAGTATAAGAGGCTTAAACTTGGCGGCGGTCAGGCATACGACCGTTCAAGTGACTAGACTGCCGTGGTAGTGAATACTACTAGAAATACGGCATAATCTGCTGTACTGAGCCTGGATTGACAGAGGCCTTGTATATATTGTTCACAGAAATAGGAATTAAGATTAAATCTGTAAATATATGTAAATACTGACAGTGAACTTACTAATACGGACTAAAACTGACAAATGACAGACCCGACCTCTTGTCAGAGAGGGCGCCCCAAATGGACAGGACAGTATCGTTCATATGAAAAAGAAACCAAAAAAAAGTCTGGTCATGAGCCCTACCCGGGGCTCGACACCAAGACAGACAGACTGACTGACCGTCAGTCGCAATGTGACTTGGACTTCGACTTGGCCCAGTCAACTATTAAGTGTATCACCGACTAGAGCAGAAGCCAGCTCGCATGAGACAAAGGAAACAAAAGACTTCACCAAGAAGTAATTAGACAGTGCTGTAAGAAACGTCTGACGACGTTATATGTGGATGATAATTGTACTTGGAGGCGAAAAAGAGATTGGCCAATAAACATATTGCCCAGTTCCAAGACCCGCGTGAATTTTCTCTTCTCGTTATCTACGAAACACGTTACAATATGTTAAGAATTCAACAAATGTCTTAAATGGCGTAGCAATTTTAGGATAAGTTTAAATTTCCCTTTAGTGTGTGTAATAACAGCTAACAGCGAAACCTCGATGTTGACTCTTTATCCATTCGGCACAAGCCGACAGCTGGGACTTCTAAGTATCAAGTAATAGTGAATACCTGAATAAAAGTTGAATATCTGTTGATTACAGGCGAAATATTCAGCTTAAGCTTACTTATTTATTTTATCTAAATAATGGGACGTCTCCCGGAATTCTTTCGCTTTTCGAGACTATTAAATGAACAAGTTCAAAACAAAGAGAATACGTGCGAACATGCTATGCGCCTGTGCAGATACCAACTCACCTTGCTGCTCTGTTCGGTTTCCGAACCTGGTACCTTGCGAGTAAAAACCTCTCTATTTGCCATCCCAGTCAGTCAGTTTGGCCTGTCAGTTGTGTCAGCCTGTCGTAATATTAAGACTGCGACCTTCTGTGGTGTGTAGCTGCACAGTTCGGTGGATGCATATTGATTTACCAGACTAAACGGCTACATATTCCAGATGATCTTGATTTCATTTACTACCGCCATGAGAGCCTCAAATCCCACATAACCTTCACGTATTACATAAGAGGCAGGATGAGGCCTTCTTTTCTGGCGGTGATTCACTAAATCCTCAGTATGCGCAATGTAATTGCATTCTGCGACAAAAGGTACATAAGAAGTCTATGGCTCTATAGCCCTTTGTTGTGCTTTGACCGCTTTTCAGTTTCTTAATCCTATACTCAAGTCGGTAGGATTCCTTGCATGGGATCAGCCCGTCACAAGGCCTCTACCTATACACAGAAAAAACAAACCCAGGATAAACGCACACAGACATCAGCGGCTGGAGTGGGATTGGACCCCAATGTTTCAGTAGGTTAAGACTGTTCATGTCTTAGACTGCGCGGCCACTGTGCTGGGCTACGTAGAAATCTGGGTGCCCGAAATTGTAATGATGTTGTATATGGAGGTATAGTAGTGTCATATATAAAAATTTTAATAATGAAAGTAATTGTCATATGAAATAATTAGTAAATAAGTTAGAACTTGTAAGAATGTACTAGAAATAATTGGATGAAACTGTACAAACGAGATGCTGTAACTCGGACTTTCACCAAGGCTATTTGTAGATGTTTCCAGATTTATCTTGTTTTGTATTAAGAAATCGAGGGAAACAATTGACGTATAAACCCTCAAAACTTTCCATTCTCAACCGTAAACCGGATGCATTGGTAAAGGTGCGAGATGAGTGAGGAAAATACCCAAACAGATAATATGTACCAAACAAGCACAGCAGCACTGGAATCTTCCTTCATACAAAGTCCTCCTAATCAGATTGTATAAATACTGTATTTCCAAACAACGAAAATTACTCTTCATACTGAATGTATACGACGTGGAATCTGTGTCAGACGAAACTCTGTCGGCCTTGTGCGAAGGGTCTTACGTATTCCTGCTGTACCAGTTGATTGCATTTATTAAACTACCTTGCATTAAGTTTTCATTGCAGCAGTTCTCATCTCACCAGCAACGGATTCTCCCATTATCCGCTCGACCAAATCCCTCCGAATCCGTCTACTTATTCCCTTAGTCTACGGATACAACAATGAGAACACGCAGAGTGTCAGGCGTACCTGACAGGTTAGAAATCGCTGTTTGACTATCTGCTACTGTCTGCATTTTTCAGAACAAAATTATTAAATACATATTTTCATTCAGGAAGTTTGTGCTGGAAACTACGTGAAGCATTTTTGTTAATAAGGAAAGCAGACAGAATTTTTGGCCCGTATGCTGCCTGTAGCCTCACATTTAATGGCTTGAACCCGTGTCTATAGGTTTCCTGAGTACGGAAGATGCAGAGTGTCCGGGTAATAACGGAATGAAAGACCAGGTGGCAGCACTGCGCTGGGTACGTGACAACATCGCATCGTTCGGTGGAAACCCGAACAGCGTGACGATATTCGGTGAAAGTGCTGGAGGTGGCAGCACTCACTTTCACATGTTGTCACCTGCAAGCAAAGGTGAGATGTGCCGAAAATCTTACATCGAACTTGGAAACAACAATCGTTAAAATTCATCTGTGTCTATAAATTTAAAAGTAACTAGCAAACCTGCGTGGCACTGTCTGGGCTTAATGCATACGCAGACGAAACAAAAATTACCTGTAAATCCAGCAATGACAATTTGGGGGGGGGGGTCCACCGATGTGGATGGTATTTTGGGTATTGCTCCGTATCGTAATTACAACGAACCCATTGTTCGCACAATCCCAACTCATTTTATACAGACAGAGTAATGCGGGTATGCGGTGGCTTGGAGTAGACCACTTGCATGTATCCACGAGTCTAAACCCACCCCAGTGAGATCGTCAATTATCATGCCAGATTTTGGTAGGCATGTATACAACGTTGTGAAAATGAATAAAAACAGCAAACATTCTTCTTTAGGCAGAGAGAGATGGGGCCGGGTTTGTTCAGTCAGTGTGTAATTCGCTACCCGCTAGGCAACTGGGATTCCTTTTCCTGCAGGCTGATGTTTTTTTTTTTGACCAAGGTATCCCAACAGGGCGTGGGGTTCACCCAACCTCACATCCCATGAACACCGGGTCCTCTTTCCTCCAAGATTCAGCGTTAATGACTGAAGCTAACGAATGTCTTCTATCTTCTGCGAAAGTTAAGAATAGTTGGAACTACGCCATGCGTCTTCAAGGATTACACCTTCATAATTATGAATAGAATCCAGCTATCAAAATGCGTTAGAAAACTCATCACTTCCCTCGCAATCTAAAGCGAAACCAGCACTCGGAAATGTTCCGAGTTGTGGGAAAGTTTGACCTTAAACTAAGTCAGTCGAAATGCAAACATCATGCATTGATTTACAGGTTTATTCCAACGCGCTATCTCCCAGAGCGGCGTTGCTTCAAGCCCCTGGGTACTTACACCTCCAGGAAGACCGAAGTTACTGGCAGCATTAGTGGCAAGTGTGTTTAACTGTCCCGTTCAGCCGAGCTCCGAGCTGATCTCCTGCCTCAGAAAACAGGATGCCTACAAGTTATACGGAGCGGAATTTTCGATTCCAGTAAGTTCCAAATCCGATTCTGTGACGTCAACATAGACCGAAATGAGGGGTTGGAGTTATAGTCCCGGTAGAGTCAAGAATTTTCTCTTCTCCACGCCGTCCAGATCACCTTTGGAGTCCACCCAACCTCGTATCAAATGGGTACTGGGGGCTTTTTCTCCGGGGGTAAAGCGGCCGGGGCGTGAAACTGACCACTCACCTTCAGCTAGTGTCAAAGCGAAGAAAATTTGGATCTATACAACCACGTCTCAATACACCTTCACGGCGTAATGATTAATTAGTTAAGCACAAGGACAACTTAAATAATAGTGTAACGTGTTGCGTTACTGAAGACGCCGTAGAGATCGTCAATTGGTTTATTTAACAACCTACAAGTAACGGCTACAATTAATTATTACACAGATGCGGGGTTTCACTCTTTATAACCTTAATCGCAATAATCTGTTTATACTGTTGCGGGGTTTCACAACTTATAACCCTATTTGCAAATCAGTTCGCTCTATCTTCAGTAATCTACACGATTACAGCAGGGGAGCTATGTATCACTGTATCACACACTCCCAATTACACAGTTACACACACGTCCGGTTCATCTTTCCGCGACGGCTGCTATACTCCAACTGTAGTCTGCTCACTGAAGAACTGTTGATAACACATTCGCTCGACTACTACTTAACTCGGCGACTGCTACGTTACAACTGGCTCGTAGCTGCTGTGCAGTTCCCTCATATAGCCGCAGTGTTGCCTGTTGCGTGCCACGTCACAGTAGGAAGAGGTGCCGCGTCACCATGTTTGCGTATAGCCTAGCAACGCTGTTACCGCGCGGTGATGTAAGACGTTAACGTGCGGAGGGGGGAGGGGAGCGCTGACTCATCCGCCACCTCACTGTGGCCTAAGTTGCCACGTTACTGTTGGGTAGGGAGTGGTTCTCCGTTGCGCAACATGTCACACTGCTCCCTCCTTAAGGCTGTTCGTCCCGAATAACCTAACGGTACATCCCCGTTCCTTTGCTTCGGAGGCTGTTCTTGCAGCATCTGTTCTCCGGCCGTTACAACCGCTCCCTTCTGAAGACCAACTCGTCTCGAGCGGTTTCCAATCAGCTCGCCAGAAGATCCAGTTGTGTCCCATTCATCCATCACTTTCATTCTATGGCACATTCACTCTCTCTGGGGAGGCTGGTTCATCTACATTACCTGTTCCTCCTCTGCTTGAAGTCTTCTTTTCCGTTTTGGGGGCGGTCGACACTTCCACAGTGTCCAGTCTTTGTTTATGTCTTCCATGAGAAGTTCCTTATGTCGACGTAACAGCCCTTGATGCGTTGTTTGCACTGGCTGACGTCGTCGTTCCTCCTGGTCTTCCCGCCACTTGCTGGCATGAGACCGTGGCGCCAAGTCCTCTCTCCGGCATCCGAAGGTTCCCTGGGGAGTTTCGTTCTTGAAGTCGTTTCTTCAACGTCGTGCCACTGTCGTGCGACGGGATGTCTTTCTGCAGGGGGCAGCCAACTTCTTCTGGGGTCCACTCTTTTCCCGCGTCGAATTCTTGATATTCCGCTTCTTTCGGTCCCTACGCCTTTTATTCTTCAGTTCTCCGACCGGCATTACTTCGGCGTCTTGTATGGGTACCTCTCGTAACCCTGCTGCCTCAGGTTTCCTGTTCGCTGAGGCCGGCTTTTCTCCTTCTGGACGTGCCTCTGTTTCTCGGCAGGCCATCGTCACTCCGACCGGTATCACTATGGGGACCTCCTCTTGTTGTGCCGCCGCAGGTTTCGTGTCCACTGAGGCCGGCTTTCCTTCTTGTAGACGTGCCTCTATCTCTTGGCAGGCCGTCATCTCATTGTGGTTGGCATTCACCCTTTTGACGGTGAGTGCGTAGTGTGGGGCCTTAATGCGTATGCCGGCATTTGCCCTCCGCCGCCGGCCGTGGCTCGTTTCCCGACGGTTGGGTACCCTTCCTGTTCGTAGGGCAGTTATTCGCGAAGTGGCCCAGTTTTCCACAACTCCAGCACCCTGATTGTCTTCGGTCTCCTCGATGGGTGGGGGACGATCGGTGCTTCCGGTATGTCTTGGTGCTACCTTCGTGAGGT